ATAAAATTAGGCATACCTTAGAATTATAAGAATAGCATTAGCTATGATGACTCGAAAGGGAACTCCTAGTATTTAAAATTGATGGAGCAACTCTGGCGTTCACCATCTAGTAATACTCTACTCAAATATATTCTGTCCTTTTGAAACCAGAATAGTAAGAAGCAAGTCGCAAAAATCGGCGCCCAACCGCCAGCCGTCAGATAGCCTTGGACAGGATACATGTACTAGAGTACTAGGTCTCACCATGACGACCCACGTGGGTGTTATTTGTCGTCCTTCTATTAATTAGCTGGTCGGTAACTTTAAGGGATCTCAAGGCCAAAAATAGAGCTCCCACATTGGCTATTCAGGATAAGTGCTGTAGATCCCCGTGAGGGATCATCCCGATTGTCTTCTATCTTGACGAATCGCTCAATGTACGCTGTGAATGTTGAAATATTCGGCATATGAGCTTTGGCAGCCATAGCCTGAATTTCTCTTACTACGGCCGTTTCAGCTATCCGATATCCAATTAAGACCACGTAAAATATCTATAGTATCTAGCATTACTGGATGTGCGGGAAGAAACCCTCAAACAGAGATGTCATTTCCTTTGTGAGATTCGAAGTCCTCTTGATTGGGTAATCCGGAACTTTAGGCGCTTTCCAGAATACTATATTGGGGCGACAGATTGCATGCATCACTTGACGTCTGCTCACTACAGTCCCTTCCTCCATTGTTTGTCGCTTTCTAACATTTCCTGGTTATAGCTACGTATTTACGACCAGGAAACCACCTACTAGCCATGGCTACGCTAATAGGATCGGAAGCTGATATCTACAACTCCATCGGAGTTGCTTTCTTCGGGTTTACAGTTAGTGCAGTGTGCGTACGAGATAACACATGGCACTCATCCATGTTCTAACGACGATCGAACATCAGATTGTATGGCATCACCGTTTTGCAGGCCTATCAGTATTTTCTGAATAGCCCTAATGATTCAAAGAAACGAAAGGCAAGCGTACGTCGAACCGCTGACCCCTTCCAATATATGGCTCCTCACGCACAGGTTTTGGTTTAGGCCATAGTCGTTTGGTGAGTGTTCGCACTTTCCCACCTCAAGTCGTCATAAAACTAAACACCACACTAGTTTATTAGACACCATTCATTTCACTTTCTCAATACACATGATGTATTCCTTTTTAATTCAACCTTCGGGAGATTCAGAATCTGCAATTCGGATAGTATGGTATGTGTTCTTTTCCTGAACGGATACTTGCAAGCCGATTGCTGCAATGCTTATGCATTGATTTAGGAGTCTAAAGGTTGGACCATTCATCCATAACACATAAAAACAGGCTAATCGAAAGGCAACACGACAGGGTCTAGGATCGACACAAGCATTCTTCATCATATTTGTCCAATTGTTCGTTACCTATGTCATCTTAAATATCCGTCTGCTGACACTGCCTTCAGCTACTACATACAAAAAATCTGGAAATGTGGGACATAGCATTACCCTGAACCTTGTTTGAAACACTGAAGAATATCATCCGCCGCTCAGATGTAACACATAACGCAATGTTTTCCACTTGCTTTGTGAGAGTGGTCCAAGTAGGTCTAACTTGTTAATTTGCTATGAAAATTTCAGCTAATCTCCATCCAAGCTGGGTGCAATCTTTATGGGTAGCTTGGCTGTGGGTGAGGGGTAGTTCTTTCTCTCACGTGGGTTCACTCGGAGCTGAACCTGTCTCCTACAGCTGTTGGGGTCGGTACGTTTTTTGGCCTCTCAGTTGTAGGCACTTTATTTAAATTTGTCATTACTCAACACAGTCTTTCTCTTCCATCTGTATGCACCTCTCTTCCCATGATCACGGACATGAAATCTTATGACCGTCTCATCTGACAGACAACATGTAAACGTCGTTCTCAACTTTGCTGTTGGATTTGAAGTAAGTTTATTTTACATTTAAAATTATTTACCTTGGTTGACGCATTCTTAATAGTATGTTATCTATATGGGATTCGGGACGACGGCTGTCATCGACTCGTCCATCGCGCTAGCGATGTGTATTATCCTATGTAAGAGTAGAGCTGGCTCTGGACGGTAAGTTTGTCCATTAATTAAGCTTTTTCAATTTATAATGACCCCCATATATAGAACGGACGATGTTGTATCTAGAATTATCAGGTACTTTGTAGGTAGTGGTCTTGTGACTAGGTATGTACTCCTCCTGAAGCTTATTCTATGCCTGGCGTTGACGCAATGATTACCGAACAGCCTCGCATCTATACTCTGTCTGATACTGGTGAGCACTATTCATTTGACTATGATTTTTTGTTTTAATTCCATTACAGTATGTTGCACGGCCTGACACTTTGCTCTATCTTTCGATGGAATTCTCAATTTCCAGATGTTCGTTACATGCTCGCTTCTCCGTTAATGGGTTGTATACTAACGCCATATTCAGTATATGCCAATTCATTCCTTTCCATGTGCGTAATTATCTCCCTTCAATTTCATTGAAATTTAAGGAAGCTGTTCATCTAGATGTAATGATCGCCGTCGTCGTCTTGACATGTTAGATGCTCCGAGAGTGGAATCGCATATGAGCAGCGATATATATTTCGCTGAGCCATCGAACATGAATTATCACCATATCGAACTATCAGGAACTAATTGCCTCTCCCCCAAATTGTGGTCTCGGGATCTCAAAGCTGAACTTGAAGGTCTTTGTGGTAAAGGTTCGTTCCAACATACCATCACACCAATTCATTCTAAATTCTGCGTTTAGGAATGAGGAACTCAAGCAGTAGATGTTATACTGTATAGAAATAATAATAGTTGATGAAAAGAGGGTTAGACGGAACGAGGATTTCGATGTCGCTTACTCAATGAACGCGTCGACGACGTGAAACCATGTGACTTTTTGCATCCTGCGGAGTGTGAATTTGCCCATCAGTAACAGGAGTACTTAAGGCTAAGATTCCTGACAATTCCCTGAGACGCCAGTGTGAAATATGCACAAGCCTGACGGCATTGCCTCGTGATTCACATGAGTTAACCTCATGGCCCCCTCATCGGATGCCATCGAATTCAGAATTTGTTACTATTCTCGCTCACAGATAATATCTCTATGATGTATCATATTCACAAGATAATCAGGGCAGAACCTGATATTCCAGAACCACTTTTGATGCTACTGGGCGTTGATTTGCCACTAGGTGAGTGTTAATTGGAAGCTCGATAAAAATAATGTTCCTTAGTCACTGTAGATGGCGCCTATTGAGCGCTCGTTCCGTACCATGCATACGCGAGGTGGTGATACATTGACGCTCTAAGACCCGTTGAGGACGTTCTCCAACTCTTAACACCTTCCACCTCTATGTCGTCTGCGCCCCGGTGCTGTCCGCCTGGTTCTCGGTGGTGCTCGTCTCGCTCTTGGAGGTGTTGCTCATCACATCCACAGAAGGCAGCGAACTCACCATGACCGCTGAAGACGAAGGCGGAGGCGGTGGTGCCAACGTCGACTTCGCCGTCACGTCCTCTGATGCCCACTGTCTCCCATTCCCGCTCCGCTCACATTTCTCCTCCCCCTCTGTCCGCTCCCCCTCTCGATCTGCGCGCCTGATCTCTTTATGTCTCCCCTTCCTTATCCGTTTTCACTTCTCCTTCCCCCTTGTCCCTTCCCCCTTGTCCCTTCCCCCTCCCCACCCGCGCACCTGATCTCTTTAACTCGTTCCCTTACCCTCTCCCGCCGGAGCTCTCCGAGCTCTTTTGCGTCGTTGCGCGCCTGGGTGAGGTTTCTCACAGCCTCGCGGCGGGTTTTATCGAGGTGTACGGGCCCGAGGAAGGCGGAGGGGTATAGACCTAGCATGAGGCCCTACGAGGGAGAGGGAGGGGTTAGTGTGTGCGCGAAGAAGGGGGAAAGAAGGAGTGAAGAAGTTAACTGCAGGATGGTATATGGGAGCAAGAAGGCGAGAGAAGGATGATATGAGGGGAGAGAACGGAGATAGCAAGGAAGGACGAGACGATGGGACAGAAGAAGGGAGAGACAATGTAGAAATGGTAGATGATGCTCACAGTAACACCCACACCCAAAATCAACCTCTTCCTCCAGATCTGCTCCTTGCTGGGTTTCTCTCCCGGTACGCTCCTCTCCCACCTCCCTCCCCTCTCCTACCAAACCCTCCTCCCATGCCTTCACCCGTCCAAGGTATCTCATACTCAGCCTTCCAATTATGCCCCATCCCCCTTCCCATCCTACGATGCGTCCGATAATATGCCCTCCTCCGCCTCTCCAGCTCCTCCGCAAACGGGTCGCCTGCATCCCAATGGTGGCCTTTCTGCAGCGCTTCGTATGTCGCTGAGATACTTTGGAAGCGGGCGCGTGCTTCTGCTTAGGGGAGAACCCGGGACAGCTGTGAGTCGGGGTGGTATGCGCGGACGAGGTCGAAGTCTACAGAGAAAATAAAGAATAGGTGAGTAATGAACGAGGAGGGATGGAGGGGAAGAGACGTACATCGAGCCTTGATCTCAACCTGCGTCGCGCCCTCGGCGAGGTGGAAGATCTGATGAGGAGTGGGGCACGGGCGAGTTAGGTAGGGGAAAGGTTCTCTAACTTCTCTTGCTTAGTGGTATTTGTGGTGAGAAGTGGATTAGGGATTGAAGAGGCAGAGGCGAAGGAGGAAGAGGATGAAGCGGCGGTGTTAGCCAACCGTGCGTGGGTGAGGACGAAGAGATTCATGAGCTTGGTGTGAGTGAAAGCGCAGAGCGATGTTGTCGCTGCTGATAACAGCTTCTCAATCTCAGCCACCCATTTCCCGGGCCGCAGCTCCTCCGCTCTGGGATTTCTATTTCGAGTCATTTATAACACTTTCGACGCCCTTCCTCGACATCCTCACCGCTCTCTCACCATCTCTTTTCCTATGCCTTAATTTCCAGTCTCCTCCACTGTCCAAACGCCTTCTCATCATAGTTCTGTGTACATCCTGGTCGTACAATAATACATGTGGCCATGGGCCGACTAGCTCAGCTGGTTAGAGCGTCGTGCTAATATACGACATGCTGGATATTCTGTTAACGCGAAGGTCTTGGGTTCGATCCCCACGTTGGCCAATGGATCCTTCCATCTATTTTCATTTTTGGTTTTTTAATTTTCGTTGAGGCTCGGAGTTTATTTCAGCTGACTAGGGCTCTCGCATTTAGCTGGGGTTCATTCTGCAACCTCGGTTCATATTTCAACCTAATCAACCTCTTATAAAGCCAAACTAGCTTGCATGGTAAACCCTGATTCGAAAGTTTGCTAATCATATAGGTTCTTGGCCCAACCCGGGCTGTCCGATACAAACGTTGATGATCATGCATGGATTTTGTATATTATTTAGTCCACCAAATGTCGAAGGATGTAATCTATTCGAAATCACCACAAGTTACATTCTGTAACTTGAAGACACGATGGGTACTCATGAACATTAAGCAGTCTCACCTGACAGGAAACCATTAGTGCTTATAGTGCGTCACTTACTTTATCTTCAAAACCAATTAGCAAATCCGACGCCATCAAAAATACGAAGGACCAAGGGAGCAGACGGCTATACCTTCATTCACATTTCTTTTATGACTCACAACCGGGACATACCGGTATTCACCGCCCAGCACTGCGTCTTGTCAATAATGAATCGGATAAGTATCGATATTCAACCACCGATTGTCCGGACTGCTTCTTCCGTTCGGGAAGCTGATTACACACTCAACGTCAATGACATCCGTTTTGACCAGCGTCTCTCCTCTACCCACCCTTTCACACCCTTCACCATTCGTCTTCGTCCTACATTTTTCCTAGCTATCCACCAATATCTTCCTTCAAATGTACAGTACCCCCAGATTTTCTCGTTCTCCTCCCATCCCAATATATAGGCCGACTAGCTCAGCTGGTTAGAGCGTCGTGCTAATATAATACATCAAATTGATCTATTATAAATATTAACGCGAAGGTCTTGGGTTCGATCCCCACGTTGGCCAGTGGGTCCAGCAACTCATTTCCTTTTAGCTTCTTGGTTTTATTGGGGCTCGGGGTTTGTTTTAGCTAGCTGGCGGTGTTTGCAACCTCATTCATATTTCAACTTATCAATCTCTTATACAGCTTAACTAGTTCATATGCTACACTCTTGATCTGTATCAAACACTTTGAGAGTTTGCTGACTACATGGGTTCTCATTTCATCTGCTGTGTATGTATTTTTACTACGTTCTTCTGTACTTTGAATGAATGCCGGTTATTGTTTGATACCGCCAAAACGGGGCAACGATAGTTTATACAGCACAACGTTAATACTATTGTTCTCTTATTTTAACCTCATCTATGCATTTATTTCATCTGCTCCCCCTTTTCACTCGTGTATACCTTGAGAAGCAAGCCCTTCGACGGTCTATGGAGATGCTCTTTAGTTCATTGGAGGTGTCTTTCGTTGCAAGAGAGTAGACGACTCCAAATAACTGGATACTCAAGCACTTTATTCTTTCCAACAGTGGCATGCCTGACATAGTATGTCTAGCTATCCCGAGGGAATAGAGAATCTCAGAAATTTATGAAGAATATTTTGAGCAGACGCTGGGGTGGGAGAATACTTGCAGATTGAGTGACCAGTCAGCAGATTTGGGCGCCTTTTCAACTCTCTTAGACGCGCGACGAGATGTTCGCGCTCTTCGAGAATGATGTGATATATGGTTGATGGCAGTATAGGAATACGAGAAGCACGGTCGAACTGAAAACCACTGACGAGGATATGAACAAGCCCACTAATTAGGTAGGTAAGTAAGGCTGTCGTGACGTACGCTGGCCGATGGAATGAGACTCCGACTAACAAGGGCTGGTAGCTTCCAGCGGCTGACATAGCCCAGCGTTAGATTCCTGGTGATTGCCAGAGGCGCTGGTAGATGGCGCCGGTAGATGGCGCCCATTGCGCACTATTTCTGCACCATGCATGTGCGAGGCGGAGTTGCATTGACGCTCTAAGCCACGCTGAGGACCGTCATTCTCTAACTCTGAACTACCGCCACATCCTCTCAAGTCATGCACAGTGAATTCCCGTCAAGCACGACGAATATAGCAGGAAGTTCAATATCTGTGCCTTCCAATGTATGTTAAACCATTAGACGCATACGTTAAAAAATATTGACCTCTATTGCAAGCAGAGCACACCACATCTTCAGCTACAGAGAAACGTATGTACAACTTCTCCACATGTCCATTTTATGATGGGACTAAGTAACTTGTAGCTCGTAGACGAGGCTCAAAGTTCGCAGAGAAGTAATCCTTCAAAAGAAAAGGCGATTTCGCTGGATCTCCCTGATGTAAGGCTCAAAATCGATTAATATGTATACCCCCTATTAATTTAGCGGATGTGGCAGCGATCACAAGGCGAAACTTCAAAATTGTATTATGAAATAGTAAAAGGGAGAGATAATGCAGTCGTTGGATCTTCGCCCGAGAATGGGAGCAGTTCATCAAGTGACGTAGACTCTACATCAACTCTATCGCCCAATGCTGAGGGAGAAACGCATGAAACCAATCCTAATTCTGAATCATCGAGCCCTTCAAGCGGTGGTACGGAATCAGAGATAGAGGAACTTATAAAGTCAGCTGCTCTGGTTCCGAGAATGGCCAGACCACATTACGTATGTCCCACCACAATCAACGAATAATGCTGTTTATATTGACTTCAATACTCTGCAGCAAGAGCTTGCACTAGAGCGACGATCAAAAACTTCTATTTCAACTTCACTTCACAGTCAATCTCGGGCTCCAAGCTTGATTGTACGACCTCGTTCGCCATTATTACATCAGGGTGATCAGCTGCCTCGAGTTGGACGCTTGAGACGATTTTGTTTCTGCTTTTGATGAACTGTTGTAAATAGTATCTTACTGTATTTAATCGGATATTAAATATTATAGAAACACCTCGGCCGAGTTCTATTCTGACTGATGTGTGTTATAATTTACTTATAAGGTTATTTCACTAGAACTGATTGGTCTGGTAGCACTACTCCTTCTAGTCCGTTAGCTCAAGCATGATTTATTGTTACAAGCTACAAAATTGTTTGAGTGCGTCCTAAAATATCTAGTCAAAATTGAAGCTTGAAGGACCTTTCTTGAATTGACGCCTGCTCAATATTCTCATCTACATCGAGTCTATTCGAGATGTCGCTATTCAACGTCGACGAGTTCAGTATTCGAGTGCGAGCCTTATATCTCTTCCATCTATGATTTGAAGGCATACCGCTTTTAAATGACTCAGATGGTTGGAGAACATTCGATGATTTTAAGTACGAAATATTCTCTCCGCTTGAGACTTTCGTGCATTATGTAGAAGTCTCAATACGTGGCTAATTATCAAGTAATAGGTCATATTGAAGTCTGAAGTACCTGTCTAATCCGTGTCCAGGCTAATTTATTTTGTCCATGAGCTCAGAGGCCGGCGAGGGATAGGATGTCATCCGTAATTGATACAATCTTCAAAACTGAGAAACAGTGAGTTCTATCCAGTTTGACCACATAACAATAATTTTTCTTCTTTAATACACGCATCGAGTTCGGCAATGTCATTTTCGACCTAGGCACCAGCTAGAGAGTAGGAATATATATATAATATAATCCAGAGAATACCTGTATACCTAGAAAACAAAAGAATAATATTGCGAGGTGGCCTCACGTCGGTCCTGACAGCCTAGGGAGTGAGCTGCTAATAGAATGACGAGGTGCTGAGGGAGTTGAATGAAGAATAGCGCGATTGAGACCGGAGGGCGAGGGCTGAGAGACTGGAGAACTGATAGACGAACGGAGGACACAACGGGTGCACGACGGGCACGACAGAGACGACAGAGACTGAGGAGGACTTGCCGGGAGAAACGCTAAAATAGTTGCCCGATCGCAACTAAGATAGCTCGACGATGAGAACGCGGTAAAATACAAAACGAATACGTGGAAAGAGGTAGGAAGCTGATCTAGATGACGCAAAAAGACCGGAGTCGATTGGAGTTGTCGTCGTCGAGAGCGTCGCGATTTAGTGAGGAGGTCGAGTTACCGAGCAACTGAGATCCAAGAACTCGAATTTATTTCGTAAAATCGAAGTAGGAGACTATAGAGTGCAGCGATTGAGTACAGAGAGTAGGGAGTGGATGTAGGATACTCTGAACTACGAAGAAAAACTAAGGTCTTTAAGTATGTAGAAAAGTCTCAACAAAAAGAAGTAAAGTAGAAGTAAAATGTACAAAAATGAAGTAAAAATGGAAACATAAGCGGCTGTAGACACCAGACTCGCTCATGGGACTCGATTCATGTGGATAGAACTACTCCTATGTCTAATAAATACTTAGATTGTCTAAAAAAGTGAGAAAATACGAATCAAATCAATGAAAATGAAGTATTTTGCGATGACATCCTTGTTCCGAACTCAAATAACATTTTCTAATCACTCTGAAGCTTCTTGATGCGTCCCGAACATTCCCCGACAATCCCTGGTCGAAAATGGATATAATGAAGTCGATTTAGCGGCGGCAGGACCGAGTTTCCGAGTACAGAGCCGTACGAGGCTCGTCATCATGAAACTTAGTAGGATCATCTATCAAGAGTTCGATAGAACGGAGGTCTCCCAGTGGTTTTAGTGAACGAATAACCTAGACAAGGTGTCAACTAAAGGCCTAAATAGTAAAAGACGAGAATTTACGTCAATATGACACACATTCAACCTGATAGACCGAAGACCAGGCAGAACCCTTGGAAACCCTATATGTGATGAGCATGAGAAAGTCTTACAGGAATCATTGTTATTGAATCCTCAACTCACACTGCACAGATTTCCAATCAATTTCCCCCGCCAATAGCTTCGACAGCTTTGCAATTCTTTTCGATCAACTCAAGCAGCCTAGTCGGAAATGGGCCAGTAGTGACAATGGTTCTCACATTCTTACACGACTCTAAGATAATATCTGTGCAAAAAGGCAGGACGATAGTTTGGATGTTGGGGAATCTCTGTCGCCTAAAAGCATTAATCAGGCCTGGAAAATATGACTGCCGGACTGGTAAAATCTGCAATGTATGTAGATTCTCGAGCACTTTGAGCAGTCGGACAACTTTTCTGAGCGGGGTTATGTTTGAAAAGTGAGTTCCCGGGAGCTTTATCGTCAATTTACTGGATAATAGGAGAAGAAAATTAAATATGCCTTCTGTTAGATTTGTTCATGATAAACGTACCGCACTAATGAAGCCTCAACCCGCCGATGCTTCTCGAAAACAGAAATTAGACATATCAAACGCCCTTCAATTCCCTTTTCATCCTCGGGTGCACATACAACATGTTCCCAGACCAATGAATAAAACATAGATCTCCATAAATGGCAGGTTTGGGAGAGTGTTCGCAAGACTCTCGGGCGCTCAGTGGTCTTAGTATGATAGTACACCCGTGGAAAGTTGTGGTGATTTGGGTGCGTTATCAACTTCGGTATGAGAGGTGCAAGAAAGCAAGAAAGTATTTCTGTCAAAATCTCCAATGGTAGCTCCAGTGTCTTCGGTTCGCAAGTAGTGTCATCCTCCGTTGGAACCTGAGGCTTTGAAATTTTGCTAGCGGGTACTATTGAGGTGTTCTGTAAGTTGGAAGCTTGCATTGTACACATCTACGCTTTGTGCTTTCGATGTAAAGTGATCGGGGTCACTCAACTGTCAGAGTGTTCAGAAAGTGGGCGTAAAATCGTGTCTGTACTAGAATCCAGATGTCTCGAATCTTATTTTGGCATCAGATCCGTCAGCGGATCTTTGAGATATGACTGCACCCGTCATCTTTAATTCCTCATCTCTTGCCCACATCCAGAATAAGCTACTGTTCGTCCTCATGTCTCTGATGTCTAGGGCGTATCATATTCTCAAGACAGCCTAAATTTCTAATCTTCCTGGATTATTTTTGATGATACCTGACTTGGTGAGTTGATTTGCCACTCAGCGAGTGCTAATTAAAAGCTAGATCAAAA